TCTATATATATATATATATATATATATATATATATATATATATATATATATATATACATATACATACATATATATACTTATATTTAGGGTATTGTAAACAAACACCCCATTGATCCTTAAGATCTGTTAGAATCAGATCATTATTTTATGGCTCACACCCCTCCCAAAAGTAATGACGAGTATGAGAATTTCAACCTTCTTGAACTCAAATTTCAAATCAAATTACAAATGATGGACTGTCCTAAAGATCATTCCACCCCCTGAATAGAGGGACATACAGTATTCTTTATATAACATAACAAAGTGAATAATATGGTTCAGTTCTTGCAGATTTTCTTAACACTTATTCAGGGTGTCTGACAAATATTGCAATTAGTCAGAAATATGAACAGGGTTTGGTTTCTCCAGTGGACTTTCACTAATTGGAACACATACCTTCAGTAAAAGGTGGAAGTTATTTAGTCATGTTGAATATTGAGATCATATTAGGAACTGAAATATTATCAGGTATTATTAGCTGTATCCTGATAAAACTTTTTCATTTCCGGTATTGAAGCTTTGAGTATTGGCCGATACCAATATTGACCTGATATGATATTGAGATAAACCATACATGTTTTATTATATATATACTTATTTTGGACTGTTGAATGCTAAAAAAAGGCTTGATGAAGTGCTATTACTAACAGAGAAAAATAGTCAACATCAATAGATATGATGACCCATGTCATATTAACCAATGGGTTACAGAAATCTTAAACAGAAGCAGTTTTTTCTATCAGAATGATAAAATCAGAAATTTGGACGCAGGCCAATATAATCTAATATTAGTTTTGGGGCTAATATCGGATCAAAGTTCGATATTAATATTGGTACAGCCCTAGTTATTATTTGCGTTTAAGAATAGAAGTTTACATTAATAATGATTATTAAACTAAGAGCTGTGCTTCCATCTAATTTGATTATTGGTACAATAAAGTTAAATGGTTCCATACTTTAGAAAATATTGGTACCAAAGGTAAAAAGAATCTTCATATTATTAGCTTCACACAAGTTTAATTTAAAATTTGGAAAATACAAGAAAATATTACTGATATTTATAATCTATTTTTACTATGTTTAAACTTTAGATCCTCTAACCTATAGGATGGCCAAGAAGGGTGTTGCTCGGTTTGATAACTTCGGTTTGAAAACTAAGGAATCGAGAAAACATCTGAAACAATATGAAGAAGACAAGATGCAGGATCTCCAGAGAGAGCTGAAAGAATATGATGAAGAGTCCGCCTGGAAGATGCAGGATCTCCAGGATGAGCTGAAAGTATATGATGAAGAGTGCGCCTGGAAGATGCAGGATCTCCAGGATGAGCTGAAAGTATATGATGAAGAGTGCGCCTGGAAGATGCAGGATCTCCAGGATGAGCTAAAAAAATATGATG